GGCGGCTACCAGGATATCCCAGGACTTGCCTTTAGAAAGGGAATAAATCATCAGCTGTAGAAATTGAACTCCTGATTTCTGGATTTAAAGGCACAACCCATTACCACTCGAGCTAAAGGAAAAGCACCTTAATGTTTCAGAGCAGCAGCCATGTTTAGTCTGTATCCGCAAAAAGAACAGGAGTACTTGTGGCACCTTAGAGACTAACGAATTTATTAGAGCATAAGCTTTCGTGGACTACAGCCCACTCTCTTGCTGTGTGTTTGTGCAGCGCCCAGAACAATGGGGACCTAATCTCAGCTGGGGCAGGGACTGTCTCTCCCTCTGGGTCTGTGCAGCACGCAATGGGGCTCAGCTGCTGTCTCTAGATGTTACCATATTGTGCCTAATAAATAATTATTTACCCACATCTCTTCTCCTTTCTTCCACTTGTCCGTGACCCGGCAGCATTGAGTCATTAACCCCTCTACCTACCAGAAAGCAAAATAAACTGTCATTTAAGGTTAGATCATACAGTCCCCTCCACGCAGGGCCCAGTGCTGTGTACGAAGCCCAGGCCTTTTGACTGCATCCATCACTGTTTCCCCTCCCCCCACGGATCCCAAAGTGACTGGCAGTCCCCAAATCTTGCTATCCCCATCCCACACAGTCCTCCCTTGGCCTGGATGAGGGGCTCCAAACGGATTAGGGAGCATGGTAATGTATTTGAGAAATTGTGTGCCATGTCCCCCTCTAGTGGCTGGTAAGAGGATAATATCTCTGCCAACATTTTTGTTAGCATTATAACAACTCTGGCTCTTCCTGTTCTCCATAGAAATGTCCAATCCCTCTCGGAATTCTGCTAAGTTCTTGGCCTTAACGTCATCGGCTGATGTCACCTAGCTGTGAGTTCCACCATCTAATTACCCAGTGAGTGAAAAATTGTTTCCTCTGATCAGTTTTGAAGTTCTCACCTTTCCATTCCATTGACTGTCCCTTTTGTGCTTGTGCTAGACACAGATCTACCTTCTCTATCCCATCCATTATCCTGTCCCTTGTACCCGTCTCCTCTCCAAGGTAACAATCACCGTCTTTTCAAGCTCTCTTCACAGGGGAGTTTTCCGAGGCCCTTGATCCTTCTCGTCACCTCTCTCGGAACCTCTCTAGTTCTACAATATCCTTTCCGAGATGGGGCACACACAGTATTCCAAATTTTCAGCCTTTCACTCCACCAGTTCTCCTGTTGGCTAGAGTTCTTCAGGGTGGAAAAGACCCAAATTGCTAACATTAAAAACAAGCATGAACCAAAGAGCAACAAAAACTCCTTGTATCCTGTCTTTATCCCTCATAAAAAAGAGGGGGCAACCCACCCACCGTATTTTTATCCCTCTGCCAATCACACCGCAGGCTCCCTTTTAATTAAGACTAAAGTATTTAGTATTTACTGGTATCGCTTGTCGCTTCGGCGCTCTCTTCTGCCATTTTCTGGACAATCAGCACCGAGACTGCTGCGTCGCCACCTACCAGGAAGGAACAGAGACGGTTACTCAGGGTGGGTTATTTTAATTATGCATGTCTCCTTTAAAACCATCAGAATGTACCATGGGCCAAATGCCACAGACAATGCCCGGTCCAACCTCTCACTGTGTCCATCTAGGTGTTTTCAGTGCATCTGTCACCATGTGAGACCCACTGTCATGGCTTCCCCTGGCCTTAATATCCTCAGATACCCAACAGTCCCCACCCCTCCTTCACAGATTCGTAGATTTTAAGGCCTGAAATAGGGCTATCGATTATTTGCAGTTAACTCACGCGATTAACTCAAAAAAATTAATCACCATTAAAAAACTTAATCATGATTAATTACACTATTAAACAATAGAATACCAATTGAAATTTATTACATATTTTGGATGTTTTTCTACATTTGCAAATATATTTATTTCTATTACAACGCAGAATACAAAGTGTACAGTGATCACTTTATATTATTATTTTTTATTACAAATAATTGCACTGTAAAAATGATAAACAAAAGAAATGGTATTTTTCAGTTCACCTTATGCACGTACTGTAGTGCAATCTCTTTATCATGAAAGTGTAATTTGCCAATGTAGTTTTTTTTGTTACATAACTGAACTCAAAAATAAAACAATGTAAAATTTTAGCGCTTAGAAGTCCATTCAGTCCTACTTTTTGTTCAGCCAATCGCTAAGACAAAGAAGTCTGTTTACATTTATGGGAGATAATCATAGAATCATAGAAGATTAGGGTTGGAAGAGACATCAGGAGGTCATCTAGTTTAATCCCCTGCTCAAAGCAGGACCAACACCAACTAAATCATCCCAGCCAGGGCTTTGTCAAGCCAGGCCTTAAAAACCTCTTCTGATGGAGATTCCACCACCTCCCTAGGTAACCCATTCCAGTGCTTCACCACCCTCCTAGTGAACGAGTGTTTCCTAATATCCAATCTAGACCTACCCCACTGCAACTTGAGACCATTGCTCCTTGTTCTGTCATCTGCCAGCACTGAGAACAGCCGAGCCCCATCCTCTTTGGAACCCCCCTTCAGGTAGTTGAAGGCTGCTATCAAATCCTCCCTCACCCTTCTCTTCTGCAGATTAAACAAGCCAAGTTCCCTCAGCCTCTCCTCGTAAGTCATGTGCCACAGCCCCCTGATCATTTTCGTTGCCCTCCGCCAGAGTCTCTCCCATTTGTCCACATCCTTTCTGTAGTGTTGGGCCCTGTCATAAATATACAGCTAAGGGTAGCATAAAATCCCTTCTTACCTGTAAAGGGTTAAGAAGGTCACATAACCTGATTGGCACCTGACCAAAAGTACCAAAAAGGGGAGAAGATACAAACAAAACCCTTCCCCCACAGATTTGAAAGTGTGTTCCGTTGTTCTCTCAGAGTCAGCAAGGAACCAGGGCAGGGAAAAATACATCTCCCTAAGCCATATCTGAACTAAGCATCTAATATTGCAGAAATAGTAAGTAATAGCAAGGAAATGTGTTAGATTATCTTTTGTTGTAGCTTGTGAATTTTCCCTGTGCTAAGAGGGAGGTTTATCCCTGTTTTTTGTAACTTTAAAGTTTTGCCCAGAGGTGAAATCCTCTGTGTTTTTTTAATCTTTTGTTATTCTGTAAAGTATTTACCATCCTGATTTTACAGACGTGATTCTTTTACCTTCTCTTTAATTAAAATTCTTCTTCTAAGAACCTGATTGATTGTTCATTGTTCTTAAGATCCAAGGGTTTGGGTCTATGTTCACCTGTACCAATTGGTGAGGATATTATTCTAAAGCCTTCCCCAGGAAAGCGGGTGTAGGGTTTGGGCGAATATTTTGGGGGAATAGGACTCCAAGTGGTCCTTTCCCTGATTCTTTGTCTAAATCACTTGGTGGTGGCAGCATACTGTTCAAGGACAAGGTGGAATTTGTGCCTTGGGAAAGTTTTTAACCTAAGCTGGTAAAAATAAGCTTAGGGGGTCTTTCATTCGGGTCTCCACATCTGTACCCCAAAGTTCAGAGTAGGGAAGGAACCCTGACAGGCCCAAAACTGGACACAATACTCCAGATGTGGCCTCACCAGTGCCGAATAGAGGGGAATAATCACTTCCCTCGATCTGCTGGCAGTGCTCCTACTAATGCAGCCCAATATGCCGTTAGCTTTCTTGGTAATAAGGGCACACTGCTGACTCATATCCAGAGTCTCATCAATCCCCAGGTCCTTTTCTGCTGCCTGCTTCTTATTTACAATGTCACCTGAAAGTGAGAACAGGTGTCTGCATGGCACTTTTGTAGCCGGCCTTGCAAGGTGTTTATGTGCCAGATATGCTAAACATTCGTATGCCCCTTCATGCTTCGGCCGCCATTCCAGAGGACATGCTTCCATGCTGATGATGCTCGTTAAAAAAATAATGCATTAACTAAATTTGTGACTCAACTCCTTGGGGGAGAATTGCATGTCTCCTGTTCTGTTTTACCTGCATTCTGCCATATATTTCACGCTATAGCAGTCTCGGATGACGACCCAGCACTGTTCGTTTTAAGAACACTTTCACAGCGGATTTGACAAAAATGCAAAAGACATACCAATGTGAGATTTCTAAAGACAACTACAGCACTCGACCAAGGTTTAAGAATCTCAGGTGCCGTCCAAAATCTGAGAGGGACGAGGTGTGGAGCATGCTTTCACAAGTCTTAAAAGAGCAACACTCAGATGCGGAAACTACAGAACCCGAACTATCAAAAAAGAAAATCAACCTTCTGTGGGTGGCATCTGACTCAGATGATGAAAATGAACATGCGTCAGTCTGCTCTGTTTTGGATCATTATCGAGCAGAATCCCTCATCCGGGTGGCTGAAGCATGAAAGGACATATGACCTGTTCTCATTTTCAAGTTACGTAAACAAGAAGCAGGCAGCATGTCTTCAAATCACCAGGGCCAGATGAAATGCATCCTAGAATACTCCAGGAGCTGACTGAGAAGATATCTGAGCCATTAGCAATTATCTTTGAAGAGTCATGGAAGACGGGAGACATTCCAGAAGACTGGAAAAGGGCAAATATAGTGCCCATCTATAAAAAAGGGAAATAAGTACAACACGGGGAATTACAGACCAGTCATCTTAACTTCTGTACCCGGAAAGATAATGGAGCAAATAATTAAGCAATCAATTTGCAAACACCTAGAAGATAATAAGGTGATAAATAACAGTCAGCATGGATTTGTCAAGAACAAATCATGTCAAATCAACCTGATAGCTTTCTTTGATGGGGTAACAAGCCTTGTGGATGGGGGGGAAGTGGTAGATGTAGTATATCTAGACTTTAGTAAGGCTTTTGATATGGTCTTGCATGTCCTTCTCATAAACAAACTAGGGAAATACAACCTAGATGGAGCTACTATAAGGTGGGTTCATAACTGATTGGAAAATCGTTCCCAGAGAGGAGTTATCAGTGGTTCACAGTCATGCTGGAAGGGCATAACAAGTGGGGTCCCGCAGGGATCTGTTCTGGGTCCAGTTCTGATCAATATCTTCATCGATGATTTAGATAATAGCATAGAGAGTACACTTATCAAGTTTGTGGATGATACCAAGCTGGGAGGGGTTTCAAGTGCTTTGGAGGATAGGATGAAAATTCAATATGATCTGGACAAACTGGAGAAATGGTCTGAGGTATATAGGATGAAATTCAATAAGGACAAATGCAAAGTACTCCACTTAGGAAGGAACAATCAGTTGCACACACACAAAATGGGAAATGACTGCCTAGGAAGGAGTACTGCAGAAAGGGATCTGGGGGACATAGTTGACCACAAGCTAAATATGAGTCAACAGTGTAACACTGTTGCAAAAAAAGCAAACATCATTCTGGGATGTATTAGCAGGAGTATTGTAAGCAAGACATGAGAAGTAATTCTTCTGCTCTACTCCGCGATGATTAGGCCTCCCCTGAAGTATTGTATCCAGTTCTGGGTGCCACATTTCAGGAAAGATGTAGACAAAATTGAAGAAAGTCCACAGAAGAGCAACAAAAATGATTAAAGGTCTAGAAAACATGATCTAAGAGGGAAGATTGAAAAAATTGGGCTTGTTTAGTCTGGAGAAGAGAAGAGTGAGGGGGTACGTGAGAACAGTTTTCAAGTACATAAAAGCTTGTTACAAGGAGGAGGGAGAAAAATGTTTTTTCTTAACCTCTAAGGATAGGACAAGAAGCAATGGCCTTAAATTGCAGCAAGGGCCTTTTAGGTTGAACATTAAGAAAAACTTCCTAACTGTCAGGGTGGTTAAGCACTGGAATAAATTGCCTAGGGAGATTGTGGAATCTCAATTATTGGAGATTTTTAAGAGCAGGTTGGACAAACACCTGTCGGGGATGATCTAGATAATACTTAGTCCTGCCATGAGTGCAGGGGACTGGACTAGATGACCTTTCATGGTCTCTTCCAGTTCTATTATTATCTCCTGCAAATTGCAATCAAACTTGTTTGTCTGAGCGATTGGCTGAACAAGAAGTAGGACTGAGTGGACTCATAGGCTCTAACATTTTACACTCTTTTATATTTCAATGCATTTAGTTTTTCTACATACTTCTACATTTGTAAGTTCAACTTTCATGATAGATTGCACTACAGTACTTGTATTAGGTGAATTGAAAAATACAATTTCTTTAGTTTTTTACAGTGCAAATATTTTATTCAAAAATAAATATAAAGTGAGCACTGTACACTTTGTATTCTGTGTTGCAATTGAAATCAATATATTTGAAAATGTAGAAAACATTCAAAAATATTTAAATAAATCGTATTCTATTATTGTTTAACAGCATGATTAATTGCGATTAATTTTTTTAATTGCTTGACAGCAATAGCCCAAAGACATTAAGTAGTGGAGAATCCAGCACTTCCCGAGGGAATTTAGTCCCAGAGTTAATCACTCTCACTGTTAGAAAACCTGTGCGTTATTTCTCATTTGAATTTGTTTGGTTTCAGTTTGCAGCCATTGGTCCTTGCCCTGCCTTTTGCTGTTAGTTTAAAGAGCCATTTAGCACGCGGTATTTCCTCCCAGGCAAGTCCAAGTCACCTCTGAATCTTCCGTTTAAGAAACTAAACAGACAGAGCTCATTAAATCTCTCACCATGAAGCCTTTTGTCCATCCGTCAATCATTTTCATGGATCTTCTCTGCCCCTCTCTGATTTTTCAACATCCTTTTTAAAACACGGACACAAGAAGTAGAATCACTAGTCCAGTATCAGCCTCACCAGTGCCGTACACAGAGGTTAAATCACCCGCCTTCCCTTGCTCACAGCTCCTGTTTACACATTCACGGATCGCATTTGCGATTTTTGCCACGGCATTGCACTGGGAGCTCATGTTGAGTTGCTTGTTCATTATCACCCCTGCTCCCCCAGGCTGAGATAATAACCTGCCTTTTCAATACATTCAGTGTAATGCATTGCAAAGAAATACTCTTATACCCCTCTACTGGTCCATTCGCACAATGGATAACAACCTACTACTGCTGCCACCTCAAGTTCTATGTTGCGGTGCTAACTGTCCCCACTTCAAATCCAGCTCATAGACAACGAGGAAAGTCTTATGTTAACAGTTTATTGGGGTTCAGGACACACACCACTGATGAGAGAGATCTCCTGGCTGATAAAGGGGCCCTAAATGTAATGGGGTGGCACAGGGTTCCCCACACAACTAACGACATCTGTATCGATGCCTAAAGAGGAGATGCCAGAGGAGGGGTGACTTTTTGCTGATCTAGGGACAGGACCCTGGTGCGCTGACTGAGCCGGTACCATTGTCCCCGGTATACATGTGTTAGTGTCCTTGTGGCTCCTACGGGATGCTAGCACCGCGGTTTGGCCGAGCGCCTTCACCACTGAACCGAGCCCAGGGCCTTACGAATCACACACTGACCGAACACGCTGCTCTGTGAGCGGGAACAACGCTGCAGCATCAGCCGTGCCCGCAGCGCGGACGACAGTCAGTCATTGAAAAGGGCCAAATTCGCAGAAACAGCTGAGAATCAGGGACGCTGAAAATCAGGTTCTTTCCCCAGGTCAAAGGCCAGCAGGGCCTGTTAAAATCATCTCGTCTACCACAGGCCAGAGACCCTCCCCCGCAGCGCGTCCGGCATCTAGAACAGTTACGTGTTAAACAGAGCGTGTGTTTCAGGAAGATAGCTAATCTCGGTTTACTGGTTTTGCCTGCCATGGGAACCACCTCGGCCTTGGCGAGCTGTCCCAATGAATGATTAACCCGTGAAAACAGGTACTGTTTCTGCAACCTGACTTTCCCAGCCTCAGCTTCCTTCTGTTGGTTCTGCTTTTGTCTGCTCCACGCCAGGGACTTCCCTGAGGCTGCCCAGCATGGCCTCTCCAGCCGCGGTGCTTATTTAGCCCGGCTTTCTCTGCAGCCAGCAAACAGGAAAAGGCCTGTGATCCCCAGAGCAGCGTTACCCAGGTGACAGCAGTTGCTGGGCTCCTGTCTGAGGCCTGGGCTACGTGAAGAAGTGATTCCAGAGTAAGACAGGGAGAGACGTTAAAGGGCCAGAGCTATTCTGGAATAACTCCCAGGGCTGGCGCTCTCATTCTGAAATAAGATCACCTCGTTCTGGTTCAGCTTCATCCACTTCTGGAACAAGGGAAGCTATTCCGGAACAGCTCAGCCCACGGGAGCTATTCCAGTCCATTTCCCCATGTAGACAAGCCCTGCGGAAGGTGTTTGATTGTCAGAGTCAGACGTGAGCTTGGGGAAGGCTAAACCACCCCTCCAGAAGGACGAGGAGCCATGACAGTGTGGTGGATTCTCTCCCCACCCCTCTCGAGCTCCTTATGCCGCTGGACTTGCTCAGAAGCCCTGTGCCCCCCCACACAGCCCCAGCATAGAGGCCTGCTGGGGGTGCAGCTAGGACTAGGAGTGAGCATGACTCTGCAAGGCTGCTGCAAATTAGAGTAGCCCTGGGGCTGCTCTAACTTGCACTAACATCCCTGGAGCAGCCAAGAATAAGGGAGATCCACCGGTGGCTTTAGGCCTTGCAGCCCCACTGCCTGGTCTCTGATCCCTCTGCTGACACCCCCCACATCTCCCCTTGTGCCTTCTACTTGTCAGAACTCCAGGGGTTAAAGGAAGGGGGAGCTAAAAGCAAAGGCAAGGTCTATCCTCCTCTTCCAGGCAGGGCCGGCTTTAGGTTTTTTGCCGCCCCAAGCAAAAAAAATTTTGGCTGCCCCCCGCCCCACAGCCCTGGGTTATTCCCCCCCCCACCAGTGCCATCCCTCACCCGCACCCCCTGCCGCCCCCAGCCCTGGGATCTCTCTTCCCCCACCCACCTGCACCCCTTGCCGCCCTAGCCCTGGGCTCTGCCCCGCAAACATGACCTCCTTATTCACCACAGCAATCCCCATTTACACTTGCAGTGGGGATCAAACCGTTTCTCCTATTTTTATTTCACTTTAGTATAAATCTCAACCCTCCATCCCCCGCAACCCCATCTTTAGTCCTCCAAATACACATGGAAGGCATAGGGACTAACCCTCCAACCCTGTACCCGGAAAGGGATGGGGATCTAGTAAAGAGGGTTCAGGCAGAGGAGCGGGTGTGGGGTGCTTGGGGGCTCTACACTGGCAGAGAAGCGGGGTGTGATGTACTCGCAGAGGAGGGTGGAGGAGGAGAGGGGGTATCAGGAGGGTTGCGGGAGAAGAGGTGCAGGGGAAGGGGGGAGGTGCGGGAGGAGAGGGCTGGGGGAGGGTACAAGGGGAAGGGGTGCGGGTGAAGGGAGAGTACAAGGGGAAGGGGTGCGGCGAAGGAGTGATGGGGGGAGGTACAAGTGGAGGGGCTGGGAGCGGGATGGGGGGTGCAAGGGCCCTGTGCAGGCAGAGCCGAGAGGACAGACACTGACTCCTAGGTGCCTGAGCCGCGGGGGTCCCCCGGCAAGGCAGTATCTCCCGCTGCCCCGCTCGGAGCCGGCTCTGCCTCTCCCCACCCAGGGCAGGCAGCGCGGGGCTGAGGTGGGGGAGGTGCGCGGCAGGCTGGGTCCAGGGGCAGGAGGGGGCGGCGGCAGCTCCCTGGCAGCTCGGGCTGCCCAGCCACTCGCCCTGTCAGCGCGTGAGCCGGGATCCGCCCCCTGCCCAGCCCGGCGGCGCCTGCACAGCCCCCTCGGGCGGGGAAACGCCGCGCCGCCCTGGGGAGACTCAGAGCAGCAGGACCCCTCCCCCCTCCCTGGGCCCCA